AGACTGATGTCCCAGTGCAATTTAATTGATTATACTTCAATTTGAGCATTAAAAACGTAATAATTAAGTAAAGATATATACAAAAAATCAAAGCTGTACGTGCAATTATTTTGTATAATTGTATGTTTTTGTAACCTATGATATGTATTTGGTTTGTTTGGTTCCATTAGTTTCCATAGAAAAGGCTTGTTTACCATTAGTTCAGTAGTACAGTAATTGCCTTTAATCCTTGTGTTACTACCCCTTGCACTTACCGTGTACTGCGCGTCTATATTGCATAAATTGGGAGTAATTATTCAAACACCATTGGGAGTAATTATTCAAACACCTTTGGATTTGTGATCAAATTGACTATTTGTGGTATTTCTACTATGTATTGCATGAGGACTGTGTTGTGTCTATCCCAGAGACTGCAGATGAAAACTAGCAGAAAGCCAAATCTTTACTATTTTAAATGTTTTTGTCCGTATTACTTAACAAACCTTTTCTTTAAACTATTCTTTTTTCACAAGTGCTAAATAAATAACTTCTTGTGAAAGATTGTCAGCAGCACTGTGATTCTGCCAAATATCTCTGGCGCCACCTGATGGAGATTTGAGGTAAATGCACTCTCTGACTTCAGGCTTTAATATGTCAGGTTTACATTTTCTACACCACCGTCTACAGCTGGGTGCACTGAAATACTTTGACATTTATGAGCATTTGGATTTGTTTCCAAATGAATAAATGAAATTTAAACACTGTGGGCAGAAAGTTTTTCAAGCATTTTGTGGGTGGCTACAGCATGGCACAACGTTTTTCCCATTGTAGTCGACTGTGAGAGTAGTAGGAAGGACAGCTTTGAACCAATGCAGCAAAACACTTCTACAGTGGGGCAAAAAAGTATTTAGTCAGCCACCAATTGTGCAAGTTCTCCCACTTAAAAAGATGAGAGAGGCCTGTAATTTTCATTCTAGGTATACCTCAACTATGAGAGACAAAATGAGAAAAAAAAATCCAGAAAATCACATTGTCTGATTTTTAAAGAATTTATTTGCAAATTATGGTGGAAAATAAGTATTTGGTCAATAACAAAAGTTCATCTCAATACTTTGTTATATACCCTTTGTTGGCAATGACAGAGGTCAAACGTTTTCTGTAAGTCTTCACAAGGTTTTCACACACTGTTGCTGGTATTTTGGCCCATTCCTCCATGCAGATCTCCTCTAGAGCAGTGATGTTTTGGGGCTGTCGCTGGGCAACACGGACTTTCAACTCCCTCCAAAGATTTTCTATGGGGTTGAGATCTGGAGACTGGCTAGGCCACTCCAGGACCTTGAAATGCTTCTTACGAAGCCACTCCTTCGTTGCCCGGGCGGTGTGTTTGGGATCATTTTCATGCTGAAAGACCCAGCCACGTTTCATCTTCAATGCCCTTGCTGAGAGCCCTTGGAAGGAGGTTGTCACTCAAAATCTCACGATACATGGCCCCATTCATTCTTTCCTTTACACGGATCAGTCGTCCTGGTCCCTTTGCAGAAAAACAGCCCCAAAGCATGATGTTTCCACCCCCATGTTTCACAGTAGGTATGGTGTTCTTTGGATGCAACTCAGCATTCTTGCTCCTCCAAACACGTCTAGTTGAGTTTTTACTAAAAAGTTCTATTTTGGTTTCATCTGACATTCTCCCAATCCTCTTCTAGATCATCTAAATGCTCTCTAGCAAACTTCAGACGGGCCTGGACATGTACTGGCTTAAGCAGGGGGACACGTCTGGCACTGCAGGATTTGAGTCCCTGTCGGCGTAGTGTGTTACTGATGGTAGCCTTTGTTACTTTGGTCCCAGCTCTCTGCAGGTCATTGACTAGGTCCCCCCGTGTGGTTCTGGGATTTTTGCTCACCGTTCTTGTGATCATTTTTGACCCCACGGGGTGAGATCTTGCGTGGAGCCCCAGATCAAGGGAGATTATCAGTGGTCTTGTATGTCTTCCATTTTCTAATAATTGCTCCCACAGTTGATTTCTTCACACCAAGCTGCTTACCTTTATATTACATTACATTACATTGCATTTAGCTGACGCTTTTGTCCAAAGCGACTTACAATAAGTACATTCGACCAGGAAGACACAACCTTGAAGAAAACAGAATCATATAAGTACATCAGGTTTCATAGAGCCAAACATTTCAAGTGCTACTCAACTGGCTTTAGGTAAGCCAGTCCTTTATTAGTATAAAAGTGCTTCGTTAATAGTTCTAACGCTCGAAGTGGAGTCGAAAGAGATGAGTTTTCAGTTTGCGCCGGAAGATGTGCAAGCTATCTGCCGTCCTGATGTCAATGGGGAGCTCATTCCACCATCTTGGAGCCAGGACAGCAAACCCACGTGTTTTTGCCGATGGGAACTTGGGTCCCCCTCGCAGTGAGGGCGCAGCGAGTCGTTTGGCTGATGCAGAGCGTAGTGCACGCGCTGGGGTGTACGGTTTAACCATGTCCTGGATGTAGGAAGGGCCAGATCCATTCGCAGCATAGTAAGCAAGTACCAGTGTCTTGAAGTGGATTCTAGCAGTTACCGGAAGCCAGTGAAGGGAGCGGAGGAGCGGAGTGGTGTGGGAAAATTTAGGAAGGTTGAAGACCAGACGAGCCGCTGCATTCTGGATGAGCTGCAGAGGTCGGATGGCACATGCAGGTAGACCAGCCAGGAGGGAGTTGCAGTAGTCTAGGCGTGAGATGACGAGAGCCTGGACCAGAACCTGAGTCGCTTTCTGTGTCAGCTGGGGACGTATCTTCCTGATGTTGTAAAGCGTGTATCTGCAGCAACGGGTTGTAGCAGCGATGTTTGCAGTGAAGGACAGGTTGTTATCTAGGATCACACCCAGATTCCTTGCAGTCTGAGTCGGGGAAACAACTGAGGTGCCGATGTTGATTGTTAGGTCAAGAGTGGGACAATCTTTTCCCGGGAGGTAGAGCAGCTCAGTCTTGTCAAGGTTGAGCTTGAGGTGGTGAGCAGACATCCACTGAGAGATGTCAGCTAGACAAGCAGAGATGCGTGCAACGACCTGGGTCTCTGAGCGGGGAAAGGACAGAATTAATTGGGTGTCATCAGCGTAGCAGTGGTAAGAAAAACCATGAGGGCTAATGACTGATCCGAGCGAGTTTGTGTACAGGGAGAAGAGGAGGGGACCAAGAACAGAGCCCTGAGGGACCCCTGTAGTTAATTGACAAGAGTCGGACTCAGACCCTCTCCAAGTCACCCTGTAGGTACGGTCTTTCAGGTATGAGGTGAGGAGGGAAAGTGCAGAGCCTGAAACTCCATGTTTTTGGAGAGTGCGAAGGAGGATCTGATGATTCACCGTGTCGAATGCAGCAGACAGGTCCAACAGGATGATGACAGAGGAGAGGGATGCAGTTTTGGCAGTGTGCAGTTCCTCCGTGACAGCAAGGAGAGCAGTGTCTGTGGAGTGACCTGCCTTGAAACCAGACTGGTGCGGATCCAGAAGGTTGTTCTGATTGAGATAACAGGAGAGTTGTTTAAAGACAGCGCGTTCAAGTGATTTAGACAGGAACGGGAGGAGAGAGACAGGCCTGTAGTTTATAACATCAGACGGGTTGAGAGTGGGTTTCTTTAGGAGAGGGTTTACTCTTGCCTCCTTGAGACTGTTTGGAAAGTGACCAGAAGTTAGAGAAGTGTTGATGAAATGGGTGAGAAACGGTAGAATATCAGGAGCGATAGTCTGAAGGAGGTTTGAAGGGATGGGGTCCAGAGGACAGAAGTAATGAGGGTAAGAACCTCACTTGGAGAGAGAGGGGAAAAGAAGGTTAGTGTGTTGGTGGAAGGAAGGTCTGGTGACCCAGCGGTGAGTATAGGTGAGTCAGAAAAAGAAGAGCGAATATCATCAACCTTTTTTTCAAAGTGGGTAACAAAGTCGCTTGACAGAAGTGAGGAGGGGGGAGGGGCTTTTGGAGGGTCCAAGAGGGTGGAGAAGATGGTGATTGCTATTGCTGATTCAATCTTCCCAGCCTGGTGCAGGTCTACAATTTTGTTTCTGGTGTCCTTTGACAGCTCTTTGCTCTTGGCCATAGTGGTGTTTGGAGTGTGTCGTTTATACTGATAACAAGTTCAAACAGGTGCCATTAATACAGTTAACAAGTGGAGGACAGAGGAGGCTCTTAAAGAAGAAGTTGTGAGAGCCAGAAATCTTGTTTGTTTGTAGGTGACCAAATACTTATTTTACCAAGGAATTTACCAATTAATTCATTAAAAATCCTACAATGTGATTTCCTGGATTCTTTCCCCCCATTCTGTCTCTCATAGTCGAAGTGTACCTAGGATGAAAATTACAGGCCTCTCATCTTTTTAAATGGGAGAACTTGCACAATTGGTGGCTGACTAAATACTTTTTTGCCCCACTGTATATGTAAAGATATAACCACTGTGGGGGAAACTTCTGAAGCAATTGGAGTCAGGACTCAGAGGCACGAGGAGAGCTGGAGCTTTGATGGCAAACACTAAACGGTTTATTTGGAGCTTCGGCCGGAGAATTCACAAGACACGAGTTGACCTCATGGTTGAGATGCCACAACAAATGTTGAAGAACTCTTCTGCAGCTCGATGTTTTAACTAGTTCGGAGTGTAATAATCAACATTCTTTATCAGTGAGACTAAACAATTATGGACCCTGAATCTAACTAGAGCTCTCGTCCATAGAAAATAATGTGTGCCAGGGAACCTTCGTCCCTGAACAGTAAACTACCTCATGGCGGCTTGTGCTCGGTCATAGACTGGCAACAACAATGCGCCCAAGCTGCCCCTCCTTAAGAGAGATAGCAGCAATACCCAAGGCCGTAGACCTATGCCGTGGGAAAGGAGACCGTGAGAGGAGAAAATGATGAACTGTGTTGAAGGTTGAATACCTAAGCAAATGATTCCCTTACAACCACCACCATCCATTTATTACAATATCCAGATATGAAGAATGTTACACTGCGACTGCTTTCTTTAGCACCCGTTTCCAAGAAATTACGGTTTACGAAAAAACACGTTTATTGTTGAAGAAATTGAATAACTCAACAATGTACACTCAACAAACATGGATGACACAATTCAGCACAAACATGATCATTAACAAGAATGTTGTCTCGTTTCACTGGCGGAAAAAAAATGTTCTTCCATAAATGTAGTCTCTGTGTCATGTCAACAAAAAAAACATCCAAAAAGGTGGAAAAAGTAAAAATTAGTATCTATATTTTGTAGAGTAATCCTTGGGAGACACCACCAGACCTCGTCCTTTTCTCGCTCCACGGTAAACTGTTTCCACAATGTCAATCATCTCCTGCTTGTCCTCCATCGTCCAGTTAATCTTGTTGTTGTTGCCGGTGCCCAAATCAATCATGATGTGTTTGTTCCTGTAGAGACACAAACGTTAAGTTCTCAATGACAGGCAGGAGCGGACATGAGAAGGTCTTCAAACAGCAACCTGGTTCTTCTAAATCAGATTATTATACAAGGGTTTTATTGATTTTTACATGAAAGCCATTGAGCGCTCACCTAAAGAAGAACATGACGGTGCAAGGGTCGTACAACTCGTACATCTTGTTGAAGTCGGGCACTTCTGTGATGTCCACCAGGTAGATGACGGCAAAATTCTTCACCTGTCAGGAAATACATATGTAGAATATTAATAAATCAGTAAAACCATTATCATGAACAGCAAACATTACAGGCTGAACAGCACAACGAGGGAAGGCTAGTTACTTGATTTATCTAAATACTTCTCTTTGACTAATGTTTTTGTTTACAAATGGCAACAATTAATTTTCCAGTTCACAGTAGCATAATGAAATATTAAACTATCATCATAAAACAGCAAAGTATTCAACATTACAGGCTGAGCAGCACAACGGATGTACGCTATTTACAATGTGGATCAGAACACTGCTCCTAGACTATTGTGTTTTAGTTTTTTTTACAAATAACAGCGTCTGCTTTGCCAGTTCACAATTGAATACATGTCATATTTGTGTTATTTACATTACAATGGCTACCTGAAAACACTCATGTTATCAGCTCGTCTTTATCAGGAACAGGCTAGTCAGAACAGGCCTCCCTTCACGGACTCCCTGTACGTTTCAAGATTGATTTAAAGATGTTATTGTTCGCTTACTACCTTTCTCTGACCCTTTACATCAAGGTCCCATTTAGGTCACTCAGGTCTGCCGACATGTGGGTTGTCCCAAAATCACATTTAAAGCACATGGGAGATCAAGACTTGCCTTATTGCTTTTATCATTTGACTACCTTTTAAGCAGGTATTTGTCTGCTGAGTGTTGTTTTAATGTTATTTTGTTTCTTAATGTTCAGTCAACCATCTTAGTTCAATCAATGTAAGATATGAACTAGTGCTTAACATACTGTTCGTGGACTGCTACGAACCTCTTTTACCTCACCTTTTTAGTGCACTGGGAAAAAGAATGGGCATGTCTAAATATGCTTTCAAAAGAGCACAAGTTACAGGTTTGAAACATGATTGCTCTGCCTCAGCTTTTTAACATCTGTATAGCTTTGAGCAGCATGTCCTGAAAACAGTCTCCACACGGCTGACTGAGAGTAAGACAACCCCAACATAACACAGTGTAATGGGAATCTGCAATAAACCGCCAAGATGAACATGGTGATGAATCTTCACATCCCTTCAGAGGACAACATAAATCTGCACTAGAAAATATATGAAGCATCCCAGGAAAGGACCCTTGTATGATGTTCACTACCTTGAAAAATGTATATGATTCTCAGCTGAGGTCAAGTCGAACAAGAATCTGTAACACTTCTGTTGGAGCTAAAAGGCTGAATATTTAATAACCACCAAGGATTTGGAAAGGTTTAATTATACAGTTGATCTGAAATAGTATCCTAGTTTTTGTACGTGTAGAATAAACTATTCCTTGGAAATAAATATTATTTTTTTTTACCAACATTTACCCCAACTAACAAAAGGAAATTCAAGGTTCCTGAGCAGATGGCACCGTGTACAGCAGCCTCTGCCTGAGTATCAATGTGTGTGAGGTTAATGCTAACGTGTATATTTAACAGTGCTTAAGCTGATCATAACTGTTATTCAGTTTCAGGTTTATGCACTTATATCATTTGAGAGTGAACATTAGAGTGTATAATAAAACACAATACATTTGACTGAAATACAAAGTTTAAGTCTGAATTGTAAACGTCTTGCTTCATTTTTTAATGCGATGTTCGTGCTGCTTTACGGATAGAAAGCTTTTACAGCAGATCCTCGTGTTATCACTGGATTAAAGTAACTATGTTTATTTACTCAACTACGGTGCTTCAGTACAACTTTAAGGGTACCTGTACTTTACTTGAGTACTTCAATGTTCTGCTACGTTGTATTTCTACTCCCCTACAATTCAGAGGTAAATCTTGCACTTTTACTCCGCTACATGTATCTCACCTTTAGTTTCTTTGTAGATGTGGATGAATGATGTGAAATTTAAACAACGTATAAATCAGACTTTAGTTCCACCTGGAGTAAATTCACCAGCTACCCTGCAGTATACAAAGTCATTCAAACTAGCTGCTCCTTTACCAGCTTTGAGAACACTTTAATGCACACGTGTCAAACTCAAGGCCCGGGGGCCAAATCAGGCCCTTGGTGGATTTAATTTATAATTACTATTAGATCTGGCCCGCCGGTATATTGCACGCACCTTCACTCCATCCTGAGGGTTTCCTCAGCTCAGAGCCTGAGCCCAAACATTGATGAACTTGATCCCAAGATGAGACGCCAAGTATCTGCTTGAGCTAGCATCACAGAGCAGCACACTGAGTTTACATGTTTCCTTCTGCACTTTCTTTCTTGAGACACAGGGCATGTTTGTTTGTTTCTTTGAGGGAAATCGTTTTTTTGAAGCTGTTGTTGGCCTGTAGAAAAATGTAATCATAAGAAATGACTCTGGAAAAGCTGCAGATGGAGCCATAAGAAATGAATGCAGCTGATTATTCAATGTTGTTTTTATAGGCAATCATTGAAGCTTTGTTAGTTCCAGGTTTAATATGTGCAACAAGTTCATTTCAATAAGTTTTGCAATAAACATTGAACCAGTCCGGCCCTCGACTAGTACCCATTTTTTTATTTTGGCCCACTGTGTATTTGAGTTTGACACCCCTGGTTTAATTCATCAATAACTCAAAAGGTCAACTCAAAGAATGGTTGAGAAACAAACAGACATGCAATCACCGCTAAATGCACTTTAATACCCGGGTATCTCCTCTTGCACTTTATATGTCGTTGCTGCTATATTGTATTACCATGTCATAAATACTTGTGTATGCTGCTCTTGCTCTTTTGCACTTTTTGCATATCATGTATTTTGTTTTTGCTATGTTTATAAAATGTAATTTTCTTAAATGTTTTATGTGAGGGACTGCGGATGGAAATGAGCTCAAAGCTAAATCTGGCACTGTTACGCTTGACACATTTGAATGTTTTAAGTGTTCATTACGGTGCATTGTCCCTGCCAAATAAACGATTACATAAATAACTACAATCAAAACATAAATATATTTTTCTCAAATGTGCCAATCTGCAGAATGACTACTTTTACTTTTGGTTAATTTAGTATATTTTGATGCCAATACTTTTGTAGTTTTACTTGAGTAACATTTTGATTGCAGGACTTTTACTCATAACAAAGTATTCCTACACTCTGGTACTTCTACTTTTTTTGACAATCTTCACAAATACAATTTTGCACTAATGTACATTCTCAACTATTGAAGTGACCGTTATTTTGTATATATTGATTGTTGTGTTTTTATTTAGGTCTTAATGTGTGCATATGTAAAAATGTGTCTTTGATTCTGTGTATATAATATATACATATTTGCACACATATTTTTATATTCGAGATTTGATGAAACTGTATTTCGATCTCTCTGTCTGTACACACAAACTGGAAGATTGACAATAAAGTTGACTTTGACTTGACTTTTTACTCAAGTACAAGATCTGAGTACTTCTCCCACCCCTGTGTGTGATGCTATTGATCATGGAAAAACAGGAGAGGGGCTACTACTATATTTAAAAGGTTGAATAAGACACTGGACAAACCTTTTCTGCAATGCTGTAGAGAACCTCGTCCATCTTCATGCAGGTCGGGTCCCAGTCGTGTCCGAAGCGGATCACCAGCACCCGGTCCTCTTCAGACAGGATGGCTTGGTCGACCTGCCAGCCATTGTGGAGATGTGGTAGCATGTACGACATCTTGATCCTTAGGTGTCGATTCCCACGCTGAAAAAACAAATGTATCTTTAGCTTTACTTAATCAGAGGGCAGTGAGAGTAACTTAAGTTTACATTCAGCTGTAAATGCAGATTTCTGCTCGTAGTTTGAGATGTGCAGTTAGCATGCTAGCTAGTTAGCTTGAATGGACGTAAGCCAAAGTAAAGTATAGAAGGGGAAATAATTAAGCTTTACTAGTTAGATAGGAATTAAAAATGTTGATGCGGAAAATACTTACCTTAAATTGAAAGGGAATTCGTATTTAAACGATGCTTGTTGGGTCTTATTTTACACAAAAAACCGTTAGTAATTGCTGCCGCTGTGTGTACCTTTTCGTAAACGTCGTGTGTGCGCGCCGCGCGTCATCAACGTGAAGGCAACGTGATTACGTCACGCGTATGTATGCATTTTGCTTTTGTTTTTCCTGTCACTGTCCGACCTCTGTGTTTATATATACAGTCTATGTGTACGACAGGAAAAACAAAAGCAAAATGCATACATACGTAACTGTAACTGGAGCATTTAAAAGTACATTCATACAAAAATAATGTTTTGTGGTTAAAAACGTTCACAACGAGAAGTCGGTCTCATTAGATAAGTAAAAAAAAAAGGTAATCTATTTTGTTTTATGACTAACTCACAAAGAAAGAGAAATGAAAACCATCACTAGGCATGGTAATTGATTTAAATCCAAATCAGGAATGTTTTGGGTACTCGCTTCAAACATTCTTGACCAAGGCCATACTTAACTAAATGTGGCAAACAGACTGACAGACTTTTTTTCCTAAGCTATATAGTGAACACCCTCATCCGTTTTATAATCAAATATAGACACAGTTATACTGAGTTATTATCTCTGCAGCACCTTAAGTAAATTAAAAGCTGAACATTCCTCAGACAAACAGGACACATGATCCTGTTTATCCCCAACATGCTCACTTCAGTCATCACTTATCTTCACTGCCGTCTCTCAGTGATAGAAATGGAGAGATCAGCTGTCTTGGTTTAACATTTTTAAAGTTTAAAGATGAAGTAGAAATTCTTTCATGATTTCATGTCTTCAAACTGTTGACTGTCTGTGTAAACATTATTTCCGGAAGTATAGACCCTAAAAATGTATATCTTTAAAAAAAGAAATGATTGTCTCATTTCCCTTCTGCATCTTCCTCCTATTTCCATTCATCTCGGTGAAAATGCATCTGTTCGCGGGATAACTCATTACCATTACATGTAGATAAATTATTAAAATATTTAATAGTATATAGAGTACAGAGACACAAAGACAAAACATGTATTGTTGTGCAATTCATTACAGTACAAATAGAAAGTACAACGGACAAACATTTAAAGGTTATATGAAAAACATTCCAGTCTATGACATAGCAGCATATTATGGCACTCCTTAGAGTATAAATCAACATTAGATATGTTTTATCTTTATTTCCACCACGCAACTACACAATCACGTTTACTGTGGTTCTGAATGGACGAATGATTGACAAATTTAGACTACTCAGCGTTAGTCTATTTTGGTCTAGGACACTTGATTGTTTAACGAGAAATGATTTCGCCATCTTCACAATAAAATTACGATCTGTTTTCTAAATACCATCAACACTGTAATCATCCCTTAAAGCTGACAACGGCATTCTTTAAATTCTGAATGGCTGTTTTTTCACATTGCACAACTTCAGCCTTCAGATCAAGTTTGAACAGTCTCTCGTCACAAGTCTCTGCTGAAAAGAGACATACCTCTTGCACCAGGTTGGTTATACAAGTCCTCTCTGCTATAAAACCACACCCTGTTCAGTGAAAAAAAGTTCAGATCCAAGTATGCATGAACCCACTTTATGCCAGCAGGTGGCATTAGGAACATTCACATATTTTCTGGAGCCAAAACGACTCCACCAGTGGTTCTTTGAACGTCCCACGACGTCTAGAGGAAAATATCCAAAGTCCATTGCTGTTCCACGAGGCAATTATGAAAAATCCTGTGCACATTAATGTCTAACAATCCCTGAGGAGCGCAGAAGCTCGGCTGAACAGACAGTGTTGGGTTGAGGTCAGGGCACAGGAGACTGAAACTGGACTCCTGCAGCTCCTAGTCGGAGGGATGCTCCGGGCACGAGCGATTCACCTCAAACCACTCGTCTATACACCTGAAACACAAACGGGAGAGGTTTGTGTCTTGTGTGATTATAATAAGTGAAAAAATACATACTAGGCCTGACAAGATTGTATTGTGATATGTGTTGTGTATTTCTGCCCAGAATTGGAATTAATTTGTCATTTAATATACATTCTTTCAAAGCGCAATTTACTTTTGATTCTTAAGAATATTCCAACATTTTTTTTTAAATATCCTAGTGAATAAATAATCTGTCAAATGTTAAATTATTACTTGAGATAAATAAATAATACTTATATTCAAGTCGTTCTGGTTCTCAAGACACATGCTGGTGCATATTTTCAGTTATTGTATTAATTGAACTACAACCTTTTCTTGAAACAATGCTTCTCTATCCACCTGTATTTTACCTTTGGTATTTTTTAATTAAAAGATGTATGTCAGTGCCTTGCACAAAAGTAAAAAATAGCTCCAACAGAGTGCATTCTTGCTTAACTAATAGTTTAATATTTTTGGAAATACGCTTGTTTTTCTCCAAAAGACTCATACCACTTGTTGGAGCCGAAAATGCTTAGTTAGCCTCTGTTTATTGTTTTTTAGTATCATTTGGTAGCACACATTCGTAATTGGTCACTTCCGGCAATAGTAACATGGGAGTGGTTTTTTGTATTTAGAACACCTGTTGTCAGGGTTTGTAGAAAAGGCAAAGAGGATGGGCTAGGTTCACACATATTCTGTTGACCAGTTGGTCCCGTTTTAGTTATTGTTTTTTCCCATTATGAAACATCGCTAAACTATAACTTCAGTACAGACTTTATACTTCAAAATCAAAGTGATGAGCCTAACTCTAAGCGACTATTCAGTGGGAGATTAGTCACCTCACCACTCTCATGTTTGTATGCTATCAATGAAGCTCTGGTAGTCATGATTTGTTTTACAGTTGGTGCATTTGTCAACCTATTCCCAACCACAATCTGCTTATTTATGCGTGTGTGTGTGTGTGTGTGTGTGTGTGTGTGTGAGCTACCTTTTATGGTAGATGCAGAGGCAGGGCAGCCTGGCGATGGTTTCTCCCAGCTCCATCTCGTCTAAACAGATGGCACATTCCCCAGAGTCTCTGGACAGGATGTCCTCTGAGCAAGACAATACGGACAGACTGAGAAAAAGAGCTTCCTCGCACACCAAATCACGCATCAGATGTTTCAGTAACATAATCTTGCACAACCATCTGTTTAACCTTTGGTACCAGAATGTCTGTCTGTGCCCACATGAACACTGGTATCACTGTTAGTGTTGTGGTGATTAAATATGCAGTCACTAGTGGGAATAGATTGTAATATTTAGAACGTATTTTCACTTTTTATTATACTTTTCTCTTATGGTATATTTGGTGTGTTCAATATACTTTGGTGTCACATGTTTATGTGAATATTTAGCTATGACCGGCCTTAGTGTCAACACCTGAAGCAAAGGAGTGACTGTTTTTAGCTTCTTCATGCAAACATGTTAAAAATGACTCATGCAGGAGAGGTAAGGTAGACTTTAAAAAACACTTCTGTATGCCTGTGGTAAGCTAGGAAACACTGTGCAGTCTGTGAGCGGCATGTACTGCATTTATCAGTAACATGCATGTTGCTCCACTGTGAAGCCTGAAATGTCTCTACTTGCAGAGAGTGTGTGTGTGTGGTGACTGACTTGTGAATGTATGCAGACAAGATGTGTGCCTTTCCTGTGTGTGCACATGAAAATGTGTGAGCACACTGACGGGGTGTGTCAATACACAGCTGCATATTTTCTTGCTGCACTCTAACATCTTGCAGGTGCAATTTTGTGGGAGATGTGTTGTTTTTACATTTTTACAAGTTTACCTACACGCTTTTATTTCAAGACTTTGTCAATTATTATTTCTTCATGATCCAGTAAAATAAATAATAAGACATAGCATTGTATTTGGAGAAGGGAAGCAAATGGCAGTGCAGCAGAGTAGATAAATACGCTTTTTATGGAAGTAAGTGATTAATTCAGGAACTTGTAGCTCTACTCTATGCAGCCTTATACAGTACTTTTACTTCATTGCATTACAGAGGTACATACCGTCCTTTCTCCTTCAATACATTTATTTGACAGCTATAGTTAATAGTTACCTTGTAAAGTTAATATTTTACGTTAACAAGACTATCCCACCATGTCCACTAACTTGCTGCATGTCAACCCGTCTACCTTCAACTATACTATACAGTTGAAGTAAAATAGTTTACATTTCTTTTTAAAACATCTGATAATTCTATAAAAAATGTTGTATTGTAATTGGTTGAACTACCCAACAGAAAATAAAGTAGTTAGAGGTCCATGTCAACCACTTGAACCATTAATACAACTCCCAAAGTAATGTGTTCAAATATGTAAAAATAAATATTAAGATCAAATAAGATCATCAGTGGTTCCTGAAGTGGGGGATTTAAAGATAAATACGAGGGGTCACAAGAAGAGAAAACAAACATATCTATTATTTAAATGCATGTTGACTTTTCCACCATTTTTTTTATTGGTTTCCCTGTAAAATACTGTATATCGAGGGTTTTTTCAGCCCATTGTTAATCTTTTAAATAAAACAATATATGGAGGAAAAAGACTCGGGACTTTTGCTTTCAGCCTAAATTGACCTGGAATTGTTTTAACTCTGAAAAAGGCAATTAGCCTCCATCAGAAGTACTTGCATGAGTTGAAATTGAGTATATTAACATTGTAGTACTGCAACTTCAATTTAAGTAAAGGATCATAATAATGGACATCTACAGTCCTGGTGTCATTCTTTACCACTCTGACTGTTCACTTGCATGTGCTCTTTTGCATGTCTATTTTTATAAAATAAAATATGCACATAATTAGCTGTGCCAACACCAGCTCCTTCCACTTTACGACTCCCCCATGACCTCTTGCACTTTCCCACTTAGTTCCTTACTGTTGTAGGTGAGCCGTGTTTTGCTGAAACACATGAGCAGGTGTTTCTCTATTTCATCCGACGCCATAAACTTGGAGCAAACAGGACAGTGGAATCCTGTGGAGGAAAACACAAAGACAAGACCATGAGCACCCAGATGTGTCCGATACGTTTTTATTGATATGTAAACAACAGAGAGAGAGAGCGTGGGACAGTTGTGGATAGGATTGATCTTACGCAGACCTGCATGACCTCATACCTCCAGGCACTAAATATCTAACCGTCTGCTTTAAGTAATCAGTTACAATCTGCTTACCTAATCATAAAATCATCCTGGTTATAAACTAAGTGCAAACATTTCCTGGAGAGAGGTCTTAATATTCAAATGAACAATCTATTCATAATTGAACCCACATACACAAAGCTTTATAGGCCAGGAGCTGCTTGACCTGAGATAAACTAGCCTCCTATTTGCCATTGTATCCCCTCAGTCAAGATAGGGGACAACAAATGTGTTATCTCGTTGCCTGATGTGAACCTCATGTTTGAGTCATTTGTTTTCGGACACAATGACAGGCCTGCAGGGTCTCAATCACAAGACTCTGAGGAGCAAAGGTTACTGATGATCTTATTAATGATTATACTTCCTCGTTAGGGAAATTACCTGTGGCCAGTGATCAAAAGGAAGGGGAGTATTCAGATGTAGATTTATTGACCACGTTATGAAACAAGGAAACTGGAGCATTTACGAGAACTGATTTAAGGATTCAGTAAACACTTGTGAGATATTTAGTTAAGAAGTGTTTGTTGATAACAAATTATATGGATGCTGGAGTGCTGTAACCGTATTAGTCTTATTTTGTGTTGTGGTCTGGTCTAGAGACACAACACCAGTTGAGAAACAGCTAGACTTGCAGATTCAGGAAGTCTGTGTGTGTGTGTGTGTGTGTGTGTGTGTGTGTGTGTGTGTGTGTGTGTGTGTGTGTGTGTGTGTGTTGTGTGTGTGTGTGTGTGTGTGTGTGTGTGTGTGTGTGTGTGTGTGTGTGTGTGTGTGTGTGTGTGTGTGTGTGTGTGTGTGTGTGTGTGTGTCAGGCAATGTGTAACCAGCAGGAAGCTCTTATCTGCTGACCTACATAATGCACTCTTCCTTCTCAGTGAAAAACAGGCCAGTTTTTGCTAGACAGAGAATAGAGTAACGTACAGTACAGCTGAACCACCTGTGGCTTCAATAAAAGTGCAGAGGTGCTAAACAAAGGGCTCAGTCATCAGACTGCTATTACCATATGCCTGGTATCATATGTCAAATGGAAAAATACTAAGTGATTTTGACAGCAATTGTGATGGATATATATATTATTAAGACATCTTGTCACAAAAATGTATGATATCCTACATGAACTTACATGTTGACTCTGAACTAATACTGAGTGCCATGAAATTAAAAATTACAGTTAAGATGTGTGGAAAAAAATGGCCGTTGGGGAAGATAAGAACAAAGTGTACCAAAGAGAACAGATATCCTTGCTCTTCTCTTTTTCTGTATACCACATTCATCTGAGGGTCTGTGGGTTTTGAACTGTCAACACAAGACATTTAAAAACATCATCATGGCCTTTGAGAAAATGGCATGGCCTTTTTCGCAATATTTTCTGACATTTTGTTAAACCAAACTATAGTTATAAACCATAACCCCAAGATTAATTGATAATTAAACAACTAGTTAGTTGGATTCCCATCACTATTGTGTTTCTACTTGCTGTAACACATACAGTGTACTTCAGGAACAATAAGGAAACAAGGAAATCAGAAAGTATCATAAAGGCACTGAGTAGCAAATGGTATCACTGTGATGGCTTTGTTTGTACATTGTGGAGTCACTGTTAGGACTTTGTCTAGAGCTGCCCTCTCTTATAGTCGACAATTGTTTGTTATTCAGTCATATTCGTTCTTTTTTTGTATTGCTTTTTTCAGACTTATTTTCAATAAACTTTTAGGCAAATCTTTGGTAAACAAAAATATCAAACTGATTCGTCTGCACGACTCTTTGTGGAGTTTTGATCTCAGCAGATTATATCAATCGATAGTCCCAGAATAATACAAATTTCTAATCGATATTCGGTCCAATCTTACCTCCCAGCAGGCGAGGGGACAGGTGAGCCGGTAGAGAGCCGACCAGCAACCTGTGGCCCTCCGGAGACAGCTCGCCTTCCTCGTCACCATCCGGGCCATCGAGGCTCTGATTGAGAACATGCGACCCTGACCTGCCACTGGTCGGAATACTGAGTCCGGAGCTGGTTGGCCCTGTGTATCGGATCCGAGGGCCATCTGGTCCATTAGTGTACCTAAACCCAGCGATTCTGCCTCCTCCGCTGGAGTTTCCAGATGGGAGATCAGAGCTGGAATAAGCCCGAGTTCTGCCATCAAATACCGGGTTGCTCTGTTTGGCACCCATGCTTTGTCAGTCTCACCTCCTCAGGTTGTGTGTGCGATTTAAAGTGTTTAGCCACGAGACATGATGACTTCTGAAAGACTGACAGCAACAAAGGAAATAAAGCCGAGTATGTGCACAACAACAAAGGCGAGGTGATCCAACATGTTAAAGTTTCACGTTGAGCCTTGTGCGTAAAATGCGCAATCACTTACGCATAACTTAATTTCCAAATGGTTGTTTTTTTTTCTTAGCAGAGCCCTTCCCTTTTTTCTTCCAACAATGGAAAAAATGTCTTCAGATAAAAGCCTTCAGTTGCTCCACTTCAGACGAGCGCATCAGAGCAAGTGTCCCACAGTTCGTCTGGTTCAAGTTTGTTTTTGTGCTCAACTGTGGCCGTCTGGAAAGAAAAATAAAAGCAGGGATTGCCCTCCTCCCCCAGTGAAGCAGCTCCGTCAAACTACACGCAGTTAACCGGGACATTATACACTGGCCTTCAAAGTAAAAGCAGTGAACACACCACTTGTGCAAAACATGTTTACAAACTGTAAAAGTTATAGTGAAATAAATTCCATGTTTTTAAAATATCATACATCAAATAATACATCAGTGTATTATTTAAAACCATAAACTACTTCCTACTAGTTTCTCAAACAAAAGGAATAGGCCTACTGCGCTCACTGAGGAAATGGTCTCTTTTAATTCCCCTTTTACGAGTCTTTAACACTAAAATAAATTGTCACAAAGGATTTTAAATATTCTGTTTTCCTGTTGCCCCTTTGTGCTCTGACTGAATGTGACTGACATTTTTGAGGGTTGTCTGATTATTCTCACAAAAAGTGGAACATTTAATGGTCAGTTCATCTAAAATTAACAAACTATAACATGAATTGCACAAGGACTTATTCCACTATTAGAGATGTGTAAAATATTGTTGTATATGATGTGTGTCTTTTAAAAGTCCTCTGCAGATATAGATACAAATCTTCAATAGGCTACAGTTTGGTAGTCCAGTATTTTGCTTTTGTAAGTAGTAAAGCCACCACCTTTTTAGCAGATACAATGTGTGCTTTTACTTTGAAGGCCTTCCTGTAAATTCCTGTCTGCAGTAACCCGTCTCCAGCTTGACGCAGCCCTGACGGTGAGCGTCAGGTGGCGCGTGACGTCAATCCCAGCAACACCAGCGGGCTGTTGGCAGAGCAGCAGGTCACCAGCCCGCTGTGATACCAAAAGCCTGCCCTACATGTTTGGCACTTTGTCTTCCATTAACTTGTGTAAATAAAGAAACATGCTCGAGGAACACTCTGTTCACACGGTTTATTGAACAATTCCACATACATCGGAGGACAAACAAAATATGCACTGCATGGTGACACATTCAAATAAAAAAGGACAACATTTACAAGCCAAAGAAAACAGGCTAAAGATGAATCTCTGAAAACAGTCTTGCATGTGTGCTTGAAAGGCGAGGAAGCGTTGCGCTGGATGTGACATACAACAACACACTGAGATAAGAGATAACAGGGCAGGCAGAAGGTGGCAGGCAACAAATATTATCTCCCCCCATGTGATATCATTTAGGGAATTAGGTGTGCACTTTATGCTTTAAGAGAAAACCTTGTAAAAGGAGCCGATAAATTCAAAAACAACACACGCCAAAACAAAATTGTGGCTAGATTTGGGAAGTCATTATAACTGTGCTAAGAAAGAAGGGCACACTGTGAACAAGCAGGAAGACTACAGGACATAAGGGTGTCATGTGACAATGAGCCCGGGGAAGGGCTTAAGCTGCAGCATGGGCCTTTGTTGTGATGGTCATATGATAGTAACATTGATTAAAAACGTCCTCATTACGTGACTCTTTGAGGTGCACTGCCTTTGAAACATTAAGAAACCTCAAGAAATTATCCATGCTACTGTCAAGCCGCACACTTTGATTTCCACATGGTGTAAAAATGCTTTTTTTTACTGTAATCTATGCGACAATTTTAACCATGTATTTAAAACTAGTTTTAGAGCTGCCCCATCTGAATCTACATCACAGCTATACATCCCTAAGTTCACTGAAAAAAAGGAAACGTTGCCTTAAATGTATTAGGTCAACGCAGTTATGTGAGATCTGTTGACAGAACACATTTAATTTAAGTCAACTTTTCAGTTTTCTCAGTGTCGTCTTGTTTGAAGTGTAAAACTTCCCCTCCTTCCTCCTCTCCCCCTCTTTTTTTATTATTTTCTTTCTCTAAATCTGCGTCACTGCAGTTGCCTCACGTAGCCACAAACTGTCAGTTTTTCGCCCGTTCGTTTTTTCAGCTAGCTCTCGTGTATCCTCTGTGTCAACAGACTGGCAGAGAAAGTAGGTTATCGGTCACATTCATCTCCAAAGTCACGGGGGAAGTGTGTGTGTGTGTGTGTGTGTGTGTGTGTGTGTGTGTGTGTGTGTGTGTGTGTGTGTGTATGTGTGTGTGTGTATTGCGGTAACATCTTTCTGTTTTTCTGCATAACAAACCCAGCTGAGGCTGATGTAATATTGAATAAAGAACTTTAACTAACCAGATGGTGAATGATCATGATTTATGATACAACTTGCATTGTACGTGGCTACTGCTCACGTAGCCCCAATGTGTGTGTGTGTGTGTGTGTGTGTGTGTGTGTGTGTGTGTGTGTTTGGGGGGGGGTCAATATAGTGCAACAGAGTGCACTCTTTGGAAAGCAAAGCCACTGACATTCAAGAACATGGTGGTGCATTTTTAGCAAGTTGGCCGTCAGTATGTGTGTGTTTGGATTAGAGTGTAAGTGTTTTGGGCTGATGAGTTGAGGCCCAGAGCTTCGGAGCAGCTCTGACCCAGCTGCAGGCCTCGTCTCGGGGTTTCATCACTGCTGGCTGACCCCCATCTGCTGGTGGTCCGGCCCCGGTTCCCCCTCCATGTCAGCGTGGTAGTGCTCAAAACTGTCGTCCTCTATGTCTGGCAGACCCAGCAGCTACAGTGACAGGGGAGGAAGGAGAAGGTTGTAACTTAAAGAGGTGTGTGTGTGTGTGTGTGTGTGTGTGTGTGTGTGTGTGTGTGTGTGTGTGTGTGTGTGTGTGTGTGTGTGTGTGGGTGTGTGTGTGGGTGTGTGTGTGCGTGTGTGTGTGTGTAATTTGTATAATAATAATAATAATAATTATAGACAGAGTTTGGTCTACCATCAAAAAACAACAGTGATTACAAATTTGTGAAAACACTGAATGAAGCTATTTCACATTCAAAATCAGTGTTTCTTTGGGCTTTCTGGCTGTAACTTACTGCTTGGTCAAATTGGTGACAAAGTCCTGTGACTACAATCCTTTATCATGTTGAAATATGTTGTCAAACACATACTAAATCCCAAAAATGTAATTGTATCACAAAATGAGTCTTAAAACTGGATAAAAAGTCGATTGATTATACCTTCCGACAGACACATGCTTATGTGGGATACGCCACCATTACATATGACCAAATTAAAAAGGGATTTTCTAGATTTGAAAGTTGTTTGTAAAATGTGGGGAAATTATAGTACGCAACTTAACAAAACACATAAAATAGATCTAGTGTGAATGTTAAGTATTGATGTGCAGTGTTGGGTGTGACTCGTTACAAAAGTAACGGAGTTACAGTAATGTATACTTTTTGCTGTAACGAAGTAATGTAACGCATTACTAATGACATGTGGGTCATATACTACCCATTACAATTCTCAGTAACGCAGTTACAACACATTTTAACCCGAAATTAAATGGTGTTTTATTTTTTAAGAATCCAGTAACATCGCGAGACATTCCGACACCAGAGAAAAATTGTGCGGATTGATTAGTAAGCCTGTTGTTTCCCCTTCTGTTCTTTTCCCCATAATGACCGCCTCGCTGCACATTATCCCACTTATTACACGGCCATACTAAACAAAATACAGAGCCCATTCCTTGTTCCTGTTATTGTTTACTTCCTCTCTGCCTTCTTCTGGTGATTTATCTGACGTCCAGCGCTCCGTCTTTTAACCTCTTTTCCTTTCTCTTTCTTGATCCTCCTTAGCAACCTTCATTATAGTCCTTGACACTGGTCATACTGTATTAACAACGTGTCACATGTTAAGAATTTACAATCAGAATCGAGTATTCAACTAAGCCGTGTAATAAAAGTTGTTAGTAGCCTTAAGGGCCTACACAGTTGTTATGCTATACCACATTGCCCTTCACTGGATGTATAATGAGCTGCACTAAACTACATTTTAGCATTTAAAATAACTAGCCATTATTTTGAGGTTATTTTGGTGAAAGTAACTCAAAAGTAATATAAAAGTAGTGTAACTCATTACATTTCAGAGACAGTAATATTGTAATGTAACTTATTACTTAAAAAGGACAGTAATAAGTCATATGTACTATATTACATTTTGGAAGTAACTTGCCCAACACTGTTGATGTGTATGAAACTGTAATAGTGTTATCGTTAAATGTCAAGACGAGAGTTCACAAAAGACCATAATAATGGAAGGAAACAATAAAAAGTCCAAGCTGTGGGTGGGGTTGTACATGTTTTGTCTGCAGCAGAGAGAACAGAATGTATCAGGGCTCTAACAGACACAGCGAGCAGAGGTCAGCGTGTGTTGTTGCAGCATGTTAAAGAGAGAAAACAGTGAATCCCAACAGCATCACTCGTTCTTGTTTTCTTACAGGCCTGAAGGACGTGAAGACTTTCTCCAGCACCTCCAGCAGAGTCTTCTTCCCGCAGGAGGAGATGTAGTCCTGGGCCAACTGTAGGAAGGGAAGGCAGTCCTCACTCTCACTCCACACGTGCTGCAGACAAAAGATGAGAACATATTGTTATGCTTTTTGGGGGTTTCCCTTCCCTGCAGTGTGTTATAAAGGTTGTCCATCCATCCATCTTCTCCCGCTTATCCGTGGTCGGGTCGCGGGGGTAGCAGTTCCAGCAGAGAGCCCCAAACTTTCTTTTCCCTGGCGACATCAACCAGCTCTGACTGGGGGATCCCAAGGCGCTCCCAGGCCAGCGAAGAGATATAATCCCTCCACCTGGTCCTAGGTCTACCCCTTGGTGGTAAAGGTTGTTGTGCATGAAAATGGTCTGCAAATGCTGACATTTCACAGATTCTCTCCCTATTCTGGATTGGACTCCTTTGTTTACTCCTTTAACATAATGACATCCATATGTAACACTTGCACTTCTATTGGCTAGCACTCCAACACATTGTACGTGATAGGCTAAGGAGCGGGACATCTCTAAGCTGTTGACCAATCTCAACAGAGCCAGCCAGCTAACCAATCAGAGCAGACTGGGCTCTGGTTTCAGACAGAGGGTGAAAAGAGGTACTGCAATACAGAAAGTTTGAGAAAAATAAAGAGCTTTTTGAACATTAAAGCATGGAGCAATGTTACAGTATAGAGGCACAAAATACAAATAAAAGCCTGAAAATGTTCAATCATAATATGTCCTCTTTAATGCAAGTGGGCTTAATGATTAAACTATAATAAGGGTAAACCAATATGAGAAAACATTACATGTATTTGGGTAAAAGAAAGAAGAGTATCTTAAAGCTTAAATATCTCAAGGTAAGACTGTTTCCCTTCATGTAATCACATTAGTGAATTAACTAACAATCTGCACTGTCATATTGTTGCACTAGATACAACAGTCCAGCTGTATAGTGACTACAACGTTCAGGATTTCACCAGTAAATATGTAAAGCTGGGTCAAGGAAAGTGCAGCACAGCTAAGAACAAAGCAACTAAACAAGATATAGAGGAAGATGTGTTTTTCAAGGACATACAGTAGACAGGAAAGACTAACAAAACATTCAAGGTTTTTTTTTTACACTCAGATACACAAAGTCCTGTTTGCTGTCTAATAATAACATGCATGATAAGTAGTTCCTGAATCAATCTGATATAAGGACTTTATATAGTATATGATGATTTTTTAGGTCAGATTGCTAGATAATATGTTAATAAATCAGCGTGAAATCCTAAACTATCATACAAATAGTTAAGTGTTATTTTCGCAAATAAGACAACAACAAGCTCTGTCACAATAATCAAGTTATGTTGTGTCATTGATTTGTAATTTATTTACGCTATCAACTTATCGTATCATTTAGAAACATGTGCCGTTTAGTTTTGATCTTTTTTACTTATCTTTTGTGAAAAGGACATGACCTCAATAATGTTCACTTTATCATCTTATTGTACAATGTATTGATGTGATGTGATGATAACCCCTTTAAATTGGCCAAACATAAAAATCAAAATGCCTTAATGTGTTAAAATATGTTAATTTATGCATCAATTACTTAAAATCCCATTAAAACCCGTAATGTCATGAATATTAGTGGGTAAATGAATGGAATTTTAAACTAAAATGAATAATTTAGTTTTAATAACATGAAGGGACCCACCTTCATGGTATAGCTTTAGGAGTCATGTGAGAGTCATGTGGACCAGGCAGGGGACATTGCTTTCCCAGTGTTGCAAACAGGCCACAGATTGAGCCCTGTCCTGCTCAGGGATGTTAGTTCCAGTTCCAAACCCAATCTCTCTGCAGATCTTACAACCGTTCTTGTTTTTCAGATGCTAAACACCGAATCACCTGACCATGACTGAAACTACAAAGCCCTGAGGGAAATCAAAAAGCTGGAAAACAGTGATGATGTGCAGCTGCTATAATGGTGGGACTGATCTCACAGCGCCCTCCAGTGAGAGGACGGTAGAGGGTTTGGAGGGGAAATCAACATACATTGAGTACTGTGTGTGCATGTGTGTGAATGTTTGTGTGTGTGACCGTGTGTAACATCCTGCTGATCGCAGTAATGATCCAGCGAGAATAACTGAATCTTAACAGTCCTGCAGAGAGACAAAGTTATTCACGCCGATTTGAGAGTGCACAGCAGACAGAGAACTGTGATAGTGTGTGTGTGTGTGTTTCCATTAGTGTCCATTAGTGTCAGGGCTGCAGCATTTAACATGCATTAAACAGAAATAAATGAAGGGTCGTCTGGGATAGAGTGAAATAAAAGGACGGAAAATAGAAAATGAAGTTGAGACAACCACATAATGTATTTATTTATTTATATGTGTGTGTGTGTCTAATGATATCCCCATTAGGATGGTTTGATTACACAATAGCTGGATTTACACTCATCTATGTTTCTCCAGCAGCAGCCATGGGAAGCTCCTTCTGTCTGCAGGACAGTCCAGACTCCCAACACACCGTCTCTGTGACATAATGTGTTATTGAGTGAACAGACGCCCTGGCTCCTGGGTCATCTCCATCTGCTCTTCAACCCTACGCCCTGTGAGCCCATGTCACTGAGCAGGAGGAGGGGGAGCAGGGCGGGTCCGGCCTCGGGGGCTTTAGGGCTCACTGCAGCATGCTGGTCTAGAGTGTATGGCTCAATATACAATATATAGTGTCAAGAAGTACTACTACTGAAGACGCTGAGCTCATATCGTTCATACTGTGTCTGTATTTATGGGGATTGTATACATTTAAGGTGCTTAAGTCTGTCCCTGGTATTACTTTGGCCTATGCATGTGGCTGTTTTGGCAAAAAAACTATGTGTTTGGCTATTACTACTATATTCCAGTGTAGGGAATTTAGAGAGACATATTTCAGACCGTCATGTTAGAAGGTTATACAGCTGAACAGCATCACATATCTACATTTGGTTGTTTACTTTATTTCTTCTTTGGCGACATTTATAGTGGTTTTACTGGAATAATTTGGATCAGAGCAGAAGTCTGGCAATAGTTCCTTCAAAATAATGATGTGAAAATGCATCCCTTGTTAATAATTCACTTTATGTGTACAGAGCATCGACCTTTAATTACATATTTAGTGGGACAACTATGGAGACACACTAGTTTAATATTAGTTTGAGTTGTTTGACAGCTAGCATTGGCCTCCACTCAAAAATTCATGTAATTTAAAATAAATGTTTAGAGAAAAGCAGAATAAGCTACCTATATATCCCCTCACATACATATATTTTTCTATTTGAATTTGACAGGCCCTGTTTGTGCTCAAAATGTAACATGGTGGTCTGCAGGGGCTTTTATTTTGAAAGTGACAGGCCTGGTGTTTTCTCTAACCTGGCTAGCATGACGGTGCTGTGGTTCAGAGGGTTATCGCAGTTGATTATAATGGAGGAAAAAACACCATCGACAGAGGGGTGGGTGTGCTTCCTAATTTAAATGACATCATCGCCCAAACCCCCCCCCCCCCCCTTGCCTTCCTCTGCTCTCCAATGTCCATCAACAAAACCGAGACAACCCCACCTCCAACCCACCCTCGACACACCTACAATAAAACACACACACACACACACACACTATAGAGTGAGGGCCCTGCAGACACTTACGAAACTGTCGTTGCCTCCGGGACACAGCACGTAGAAGGAGACGCCGGGCTCTGCGTAAAAGTCCAGCCGCCTCTCGTCGTCCTCCTCGGCGAATATGAGGTCGAAAGGGTTACCGGAGCACCACTTCTCCGCCGCCTCCACCAGATGCTTGAACTCCATCCTCTGTTATCCGGTTCTGCGGTGGTGGTGTCCCTTGATCTCGATCTTTCACGGCGATGATGCTCAAGACAAAAATAACAGCTGATCGGAGAGCAGCATCAGCAGCAGCCTGCACTACCTACCGCATCGCCTCTTTACGCACTGTCTGCATGGCCCGGGTGTGAAGATAATAATAACACTGATGGTGCAATTTATAGCCTACCGAGTTCTGGTGCACATCCGATCTCACTGCCCCATTCCTCTCTTCATCTCCCCACGTTATGAAGTCAGCCCGTCGGTCGCATACATGCATACGCAGGAGGACGCTGGAAAAAACGCGATGACGAACAGTGGAGCCGGGCAGCCGTCCATAAGCGAGGCGAGGCTGCCAACACTCACTGACTGTGTCACCTAACCTGCTGCTGAGCTGACTGCATGCCGGAGGAATCCTATTGGCAGTTTGACATTATGCATTATAGAAGCATAGAGCTATGTGATATGCAGACACATACATATAATGTACGAGGCACAAAAGGATCAGTTCACTAATATCACAAATAGATTTTAAATTTTAGCTACAAAGTCAAATTCTTATTGGCTTTACTAGCTTTTGATATGCCCACACTTTGAACTCCAGTTGCTTGGTGATATTTTTGAAATTTTCATTAAAAAATCGATAAAATGTTCCCAATATCCACTCTGAAAATTGTCTTTTTTAATAGCTCTAAAATAATAATAATAATAATAATAATAATAAATGTAATATGTGAATGTATTATTTTAAGATAAGATCAGATAAAACATTTTTTTTTAAACTTACTTATCACTAAAGCAGTAATAGCCATAAGAGTGAAACACAGGCCTCAGATAAGAGTCCCCCCCCCCCCCCACAGGAATACATCAAATACAAATACAATTTTAATATAAGTATAAAATACATTTCAAAATTAAAATGAGTTAAAAGGGAAATCTATAAAAAAAAGTCTATTAACATGTCTTACCCTTAAGGACTTCACATAACACCTTTAATGATCTTGAGTCAACACAACAGGGAGCAAAAATAAACACAGCAGTGTTTACAGGAATGAAGCCCCCCCCCCATCAGCTCCTGTCTGCCCTGCCTGCTCCTCTCCACCAGAGGGCGCGAGAAACCAACTCACAACTCCAGGCAAGAAAGCTCGTGATATTTACCTTCAATAGGACCTTTAAATGTGAGCGTCTGTCCTGTCAAAATAAAAGCCTAATTTAGGGAAAAGTTGGGTCGTCAAAAGAGCTACATTACAGCCAAAGAACATTATCTAAATGGAAAGTATTTTAGTACAACAACAAGCAATATTAAATTCTAAATATGCTGATTGCAAATTATGATTAAAGTATTAAACCCTGCATATTGATTGTTAAATACAGGAATCAACATGACGGCATGTGGCTATTTTTTTTATTGTGATGATCAAATAGATTCATTGTTATGTCCTTTTACAACTGGTTGAAACAGTAAACAGGCATGCACTTTGTGTCAGTTTGGTGTTGATGCTAAATCCGTGCCCTGTGTGGCCAACATTATGCAATTAGGTCTCGTTAATGGAAGGTTCATCTCCTGAATTGACATGAAACAGGCTTAAAAGTAGGAAAATCCCCCAAACGTATTGACACCATTGACACTGTATACCTTGAATCCATTGTTTCTTTGTTTTAAAAAAATCTAAGAGGTATTTCTTTTGTTATTTAGCTGAACATATACATGCTTAAAGCAGCCATTTGGGGTATTTCATTAGTTTAACCAGCTGGGGCTGGGATCGAACCACCAACCCTCTGATTGGTATATCAGCGCATTAACAACCCTAAACAGATTTTGATATATTATCATGTCATAGCCTGCCCAATTTCTGACATGCAAGTCTGCTGCCAACCCAAACATGCTTTTATTTTGAAAGTCCACACCAGAAGTAGTGTCATTCATCATTTCAGTGAGTTTACTTCAGGTTTACTTTCGTGTCCACAGTGCCGCCTCTCCCTGAGGTTGTGCTCCTCCACAGTGAGTGTCGGTTCTCCCAGCGGTCAGACGCGCTCCTCTGCGCACACACTGCGGGCAGACTGCGGACTCTCACCCCCCTTTAACTGAACCTGAACAAAGCCTGCACCATGCACCATGCACTGCGCTCAGTTTAAAGGTTAGAGAGGGAGGATCACCGCTGGACGACCCTGCTGTCCAGCACCCCGGGGTCGCGCTTTGTTCACAGTGAAGACCCACATTTTCTATCACCCAAAATAAATCTCCAGAAACCCTGAAAATGGATCCTTTACAAAATGGGAATAACTGTGAGGAGGAGGAGGAGGAGGAGGAATCGCAATGTCCCGAGGAGGAAGAAGTAGATCCAAGAATCCAGGTGAGGTTAGAAAATAAGTAAATGGAATCCAGATATTGCCTCCAGTGAAAGTGACATGGAGATACAAATGGGAAGCCGGTGAAAAGTAGTCAAGTTGTGTTAAATATTGTTAAAAATATGTTATTATATATTTACTTATTTAGTAAAAATATATAAATACTTTAAAAAGTTCAATAGTTCTACTTTATTGCAATACAAGCATAAAAGCATTGCACTTAAAAATAATTCACTCTTAACTAATGCAATGTTCCGTTCAGTCATGCCATAAAATCTAATATAATCTTCGATAGATTAAATTAAGAGTAGTTTTCCCTTTAACACTTTCTAGAAACACACACACACACACACACACACACACACACACACACACACACACACACACACACACACACACACACACACACACACACACACACACACACACACACACACACACACACACACACACACACACACACACACACACTAGTAAACAGAAATCACAGAGTAACTTCTACACTCAGGGTCTGTGTTAACCATTCTCTCTCCCCCCCCCCCCCCCCCCCCCCAGGAAGAATTGGAGAAGTTGAACCAGTCCACAGATGACATTAATCGCTGGGAAAGTGAACTTGAGGTAAGACTAAACACCAACGCGATTGCCTCTATCATCAGCGACTCTCCCTGCTGGGGTAAACACCTTCCAGTCATGGCTTGTCTGCATAAACACTCATCTCAAGGAGCCATTACGTCTCACTTTCCAACATAAAGTCTTACTTGAAATAAGCCTGATATCCTGGCCCTAGCAACGAGGTCATTGCAGGGAAACAGTTTACACTTGCAAACACGGAAATGTTCTAAAAGAGGGAGCTGCTTCTCTGGGAAAATGTGGAAAAACTGAAGCAGTGACTGTCGATCCTCCTTAATAACACACTGCGCTGCACTGTACTGTATGAACTGTAAGCAGTGGGGGAGGAAGTACTCAGATCTTGTACTTAATTAAGTAAAAGTAGCAACACTGAATTGTAATAATTCTCTGTTATAAGTAAAAGTACTGCCATTAAATAGACTTCAATTACAAAAGTAAAAGTACTCGTTATTCATAATGGCCCAGAATCAAATAAGTACATTATTGGATTATGATTATTGATGGCATTCATGTTTTTATCACAATATGTACATTTGGAGCTAATTTGAATGACCTCATATATGGTTTCTGGATTTCTTCACCTAAAATGTAATAATATTGTAAATGTTTACTTATTAGTTCATTTATAGTTTGATTTTACTAATAATCTAAATCTATAAAGTAACTGAAGCTGCCAAACTATGAAGGAAAGTACAATATTGGCTGCTAAAAATGTAGTAAACGTATTTGTAAGTTACATATCATTAAAAGACTCAGGTAAAGTACAAGTTCCTCAAATTCTGACTTAAATACTTGAGTAGATGTATTTTATTACTTTCCACCACTAAGTGCTACAACTGTGCTCTAAATGTTTAACAAAATATTTGAATGGCACATTTGGAGTAATCTAAATCCCAAATGCATCAGCCTTCCTTTACAAACACATTAAAGGGGCTGTAAAATAGGGAACCAGAGAAAGAGAGATCTTTTGTTTTGTTTTTACAGCGCTCACTGTTTTCCAAACTTTAACTAGGAGGGTTACTGTTCAGCAAAAGTAAAAACATTCCAGATGCCTGCTTTAGTTTTTCTTTGCCTCAAAGTAGGCCCCTTCTGTTTCTCATTAGACATCACTCATGTCCGTTTGCCATAAACCAGAGCTGGAATAAATGTTACAACAGTCAGAAAGGGACAGGATACAATACAAATCCACAGCTCAATGTTGCCATATTCATGCGTTCCATGCTAAAACCAAATAATTATAAAGTTTACCTATCTATGAAGGATTTAACCGCTGTTCTCTTTCTTTTCGGGGGGACATTTTACATTTCTTCCACTGCTTCGGTTACATTTTGAAGCATCAGTTGTGTAACTTTTTCTAAGTATTTACCCAGCATAATCAGAAAGAAAGAAGGTGATTGAGGCAGAATAAAAGTGGCGAGCTAAGGAATGTGAAAGTGCTGCTGGCAGAATGTCTTCCTGCAGAGTCTGGAGTTCATTAAGGAGTGTACAGTCGATCCAGAGGATTCAGGACAAGCTGAGGCAATGAGGTTAAATCCATGAGGTTACCGACTCTGCCAACAAAATGATAAACCTCTCATGCCAGAGAGAGAACATCTTGTCTGCTAGAGTTAAAGACTGTGTGCATCACCTACAGAAGCACATACGCCCATGGTGAAAATGACCCATTATAATCCTCTCGGCGTGTGTGTGCATAGCCTATAAGAGGCACACTTTGGTAGAGGGTAATGTAAACAACTCACAAAAGTGTCATTTGAGAAAGAAAAAATGGACATATAGACCAAAAGCACAGTTTCACTAACAAAATATGCTGTAATTCCTATAACGTATTTATGCAAATTAAATACCAGGCAAGTATTAAATAATGGTACCAGAGAGCATTTCAACTTAAACATGACACAGCTTAATGTGAATATGAATATACGTCCCTGCCTGCATGCTGCGTCACCATTTCAACGCAGGAACAGGAAGTGTGCTTCCTGTAGCGCCCTCTCCTTTTCCCTCTCTTCCGTCTTTTTTACAGGATGCAGGTGCTTGTGCCTTTTAAACTGGCCTGACTGTAAATTACAACACATACAAACTCATGCCCCTTTTCACCAAATCAGCTCTGCTTCTTGAACCAATTCTCGAACCACATATGCAAAAAAAGCCCACATTTCACCAGTTTTGAGAGGAATCATTTTAATTAAGGATGCATGATCAACACAGGGCGTCACCCAAAGGCAGTCAAGGGCGTATCGTATTGATAACATACAAGCTTTTTCTGTTATTAAGATAATAGTTTTTATCCTTAAACAAACATGGACCAAATATCAACAATTTTGTCCTTTAAATTATCTTCTACTTGTTTTCTTTTTAGTTTTTTTGTTAAGCAGATCGTAACTTGGTTTGGAAA